CTTTTTTTTGGAACCCATGTAAATGAAACATCATTTACACAAAGACCAACAGGATCCAGTTAAGCAATCACCGGGCCCACCTATTATGCTGTAATTATCAGAAGTCGAACAAACAGCAACCACAAGAGAGACACGTACAAAGTAAGTCCTCAAGCAAGCTGAAATCACTTTTAAAAATAGAGCTTCACCTAAAAGAATAATAAAAGTTCTCTTTACTGAGGCCACGGAGAAGTTTTCCACCAGTATTTATTGAGCGTCTACTACGTGACTGGCGACTGAAGTAGGTGTGCGCAGGATAAGGTGACTGCAATCCACTGACCAGCCACAACTTTGGGCGACTCCCCAGAACTCGAGGAGAAGGCAACTTCCATGAGTAACAGAGAGTGCCCCAACATAGACCTCACAAGAGAACCCAGAGAAGGAGGGGTAAGACATTTGCCCTGAGGACCGTAAGGAAACTAGGCTCCTGTTCATTAGCCAGAACGGGATTCAGCAAACTGTCTGTGAAGGCCAAGCCGTAAMGGTTTTGCTTTCTCAATCCCAGCAATGGCACTCACCAGTCCTCAACCAACGCAGTACTCGGTGCCACCATTGTAGTGTCAAAGCTGCTGAGGACCCTACAGGACAGAGGTGACTGTCCAGGTGAAACCTTATTTACGAAAATAGACCGAGGTCACATTTTTCCAGCCCCTGTTCTAAATTTTTACCATTGTGGCTATATTATGTGAAAAGAGTAAATTAAAACAAAACACAAAATCTAAAGGGGAACCTCTCGGCCAGAACTTTATCTGTAGCTCAGCCTTGTCTCTGCAGCCCAGGGCTGTGTGCCGGCCCTTCTCCAGGCCCAGGTTCAGCTCCAGCGTCCCCAGTGAGGTCTTCAAGGCCCGTGGACATTGCCTTGTTCACCCTTTGTCTTCACCAACAGCAAACGCCACTCATTTTTATTCTTGGGTGAATCAGTTACATCTCTTCCTCTTGACTCCTGACTGGATGCACAGGAGCCACCCATCAGCCCTGCTCCTTATTTTTAGTCATTTGTCGGTGAGCATTGACTGAATACCTCCCATCATGCTGTGCTCAATATCTGGCATAAAATTATGTGCTTAGTAAATAAATCCTCATTGAATGAATGAATGAACAAATGGTGGTTTACTACCTGCCTAGATGAAAATATCCTCAGCTCATACATGTGTTCTTCTTTCAGAGTCTCTGTATGATTCTGGTGTAAGGAGCACTGAACTAGGAAGAATGGGAAGGCGGCAGCAAAGTTACCATTTGTAACAGTATCTACTAAGATCATTCCAGCTGGCTCAGGAGGACCTTCCTCCTCAGGGTACAGTGCTGCTCAGAAGATTCTGGTTCTCTTCACAAACCTGAGAAACCTGCAGATCTGCCTGGCCTGTCYCCTTCAAGACAGGCTGTCACATGACCTGTGTGGGTCACTGATATGTGAGCAACAGTGACAGACATCAATTCCAGGCAGTGCCACTGAAAGCAGAAGTGCCTTCCAGCTCTGCCTACCTGTGGAAGCTTCCTGGAGCTGCCGGAGAATTTACCAGAACTGGGTGCTCTCAACATCCGAAATGTACTCTTTCATGATCCTAGGGGCTACAAGTCCAGCATTAGGGCCACATTCCTCACCAAGACACCGGGGACAAGTCTGTCCTTGCCTCTTCCAGGATCTGATAGTAGCTGTCAATGCCAGTGCTCCTGGGTTTGTAGATGTGTCCCTCTGATGTCTGCCTCCAATTTCAGGTGGCCTTCCCTTCTGTGGGTCTCCCCTGCAACTCCACCCAAATCTCCTTTTCCTCTAATAATGACACCTGAGTCACTGGACCACATACTCAAATCCAGTCCCACCTCCACCTTCACCTTTGATCACATCTACCTCCTTCCACATCAGGTTACATTCACAGGTGACAAGGGCTAGGAGTTGAAAATAGTTTCGTGGGGGACACAGCTTAACCTACTATACCACCTACATTGTCCATCATGTTAAAATGCAGTCTTCACCAACCAGGGCCGAGTGGCTGGCTGAGACGGGTTTGTCTGCCGGCTCAGCTCGTTTCAGTCATGCGTCCTCTGAACAGGGTGGTGGGCATTTCACCTGCACCAGGTCCAGTGTCTTTCTCTCCCAGGACATTTAGTGGATTTGTGTGAATTAAATATCTACACTGTGCATTGTCTGYTTGCAACCTGTCTCCAGACTTCCTGCTGCAGAATAATATATTCCTATGGACCACCAGTTATTTCCTGAGGGCTGGCTATATGTGTATCTCTAAGCTGTGTGCAAGAGGCTTTCACAGGAAATTAGACACGAGTCCTAATCAGGAGTGCGCATCTAATTGGGTGAGCAAACTGGAAAAGACCTATATCAGTGTTGGTTAAAATTTCCAGCAGAGACCTAGTAGTAAAATTCACTAAGAGGTAACCCTAACAGGGCTCCCCGTCTAGTCCAGGTAATGTGCTTAGTATTTTACAGGTGTTGTTCCCTTAAACCCCCAATGAAGGTTGTTCCCTTAAACCCCCATGACTATAACCCATGAGACTAGTATTTTTTTGTCCTTTTACAGGGGAGAAAACAGAGGCTGAAAGAGGTCAAGGGGCTTGCCCAGTGGTCACAGAGGTTTCCTGTCCAGGTCCACCTGACTCATGAGTACATACCCTGCTGGATCACGCCTTCAGTTCATCAAAGCCTCAGCCGCCGTGGGGATGCAGGTCTATACTCCCAAACAGATAGGTTTGGTCCTCCTGCAGGCTCTCCTGGGCTCTGTGATGGGGGGGGGGGAGGGGGCAGTATCAACCATTCGAGGTAATAGAACAGAACAGAAAGCGACTCTTCAATTTTGATTTCATTGTTGGTAGGTCTGTCTTCCTAGGTTATTTTATGGACTAATCCAAACTCGTTCTTTCATCTTTCCATTTGTAAGAATTGAAGTCAGACTCAATTTTCTGACTCGGCCACCAATTCAAAGCATTGTATCAAGAGCCTTCACTGCTTCTGTACAGCAATAAAACAATTAAAAGTCCCAGAGGGTGGCTGGGGATGTGTCGCAGTGTGAGGGCCCTGGCCTAGCATGTGCAGAGCCCTGGGTTTGATCCCCAGCCCAGAAAGGGAAGAGGGCAGAGAAGAGTCCACAAAGAAGCAACATTAAAACAAACCAACCCTGTTTTTAAGTATTTCCAACCTTATTTCAAAACAGCCTTATGAAGATGGTTGTCCCAACAGCCCTGTAAGAAACCAGCCACTTTGAAATCGGTTTTTTCCTATGTAGACAGAGCCTATTTTCTAGGCTTGGAGAAGAAGGCATACCCAACCTGGCATTTAATTTAATAGTAGAAAATATGAAATAGACCATTATTTAAAAAAAAAATGCAGGAATGTTGAAGTCTCCGTGGACTGGTTTTTGCATTTACCCGGCAGTGCTCCGTGCTCCCGTTGGCATGGAGACTGGAAGGAAACTTTCCACCAGTCTGCCACTTGCTACTGTTTCCACTTATTTTACTGTGAATCCAATTTTAACAGTTTTTTAAAAGTTAAAAAAAGGGGGGGGGAGGTTGATTCCTTTTGTGTTTTCTGTTCCAGGATGTTTCTCAAACATGAAAACATGTGTTTTAAAAAAGGCTTTAGAAGTCAGTCAAAGATGATTTGGTTTTTTAAATATTCAGCTGTTTGACATTGGGATAATTGCCTCATCTTTTCTAATTTTTTTTTTCCCCTGCAGTTTGTCTGAATGCTTTGGCATGAGGGAGCCCCACAGTCTGAAACTTTGTCCCAGCTCTCCTTACTGCATTTATTAAAGAGGCTGAAAGACACATCTGCTTTTCAACAACTTGTGATCCTTAAGGGACAGGGGAAAGCAGAGATCCTGGCCATTGGGGAAAATCTGGGCATCCCAAAACCAGGGAGCCAGCAGGTCTGGTGTGGCAATGCCTACTTTGTCAAGGTGAACAGGGGGCCGGGGGACCCTAGGGTTGGAGATGGGGTGCACGTTTGTGGCTGGTCCTCTCCGTGGAAGTCTAGAACCCAGTAGACAGTTCTTGTTGGCATGAGTAAAAGTATCACAGTCATGCCATATGGCGTCCTGAAAAACTGAAGAGTGATTTTCCTAGCCTGGAAAATTCAAGAGCAAGCGAGCTGCCTACCTGGGGCTAAGGGGGCCCCAGACTGGCACAGGAAGCCAGGCATTCTCATTTCCCCTTGGCATGGGTCTGCATTGTTCTGCCTGGAACTGGCGCGAAGCTGCAGAGAGAAAGAGCGCGGTGAGGAGATCAGGGAGCAGAGGGCTGGGTACAGATGTGAGCAGGAGGGAAGGCATTCCAAAGGAAAGACCCAAGGCTGCACAGCTGTTAAGGACCAACCCCTCGGCATGCCCGGGTCCTCCGGGTGTGAGATTAGGGGTGCTTTGCGCTCCCTTTGTTCTCCCCCAGCCCACCCCYGCCCCGCCCTCCACGTTCCCAGGGCGTTTGTTGGTTGTCTGTCTTTCTGCTAAGTTGCTCTGCCATGGGACAGAGCCGGTGCAGTACCTGGCAGGCAGTGGGCGCCTGGAGCCCACTTGCTGAACGCGGGAACAGTTTGGGGGCCTTGGTGTGTCCCGGCCCGCGCGCCCTGTGTCCTGGGCGCCTGGCACATACTAGGCGCTCCCTAACATCTGCAGAGCAAATGATCTGCAAGTGGCGGGCGCTGGCACGTGGGGCTTGGGAAACAGGGCAGCCACCAAGCGTCTCCGAGACCCCAGGAGCGCAGCTCCGGGCGCGTGTGGAGGGCGCTGCCAGCGTGGCACCCGAGGGCGCGCGGGGCGCCGGCACGTGCGCGACCTGGGCGCGGGCCGCGGGGTGGGCGCGGGGCGCGCGGGGCGTGTGGCGCGCCGTGCCCGCGTGCTGCCGGGCGGGCGTGAGTCACGGCGGGCTCGCCTTTATAACCGCCAGAGGCTCGCGGGAGCCGCCGCTGCTCCTCTCCGCGCCGCAACCGCCCCAACCGCCGCGCGGCCCGGGGCGCCATGGGGAGCCCGCGCTGCGTCCCGCTGCTGCTGCTGCTGCTGCTGCCGCCGCTGCTACTCACGCCCCCCGCCGGGGACGCCGCCGTCATCACCGGGGTAAGCCGCCCGCTGGCACCTGTCGCCTGGGCATGCCGGGGCTCGCCCAGGGAGGCGCAGGACGGGAGCCCAGGGCTCGCGCGGGCAGCGTGGCCCGAGCGGGACACCTGCCCGGGACACCTGCTCGGGAAGGCCTTTGGCGCACGGGGGAAAGTGCCCTGCCCAGCCATGGGGGTCACCCGCCACCTCCGCCACCAACTGCTCCCACCGACCTCACCCCGCTCCCCCGCAAGCCTGCTCTGTGCTCCTCGGTCTGGCGCGTCTGTCTGTCTGGCAGAAAGAAGTTTCTTTCTCAGCCTTCTCAGGTACTTTTCTCCGAGTTGCAGCTCGAACCTTGCATTTTAATGACGGCCCCTCCCTGAGTTGCAAAGGGAAAGAGGGATACCCCAGGTCCCCGGGTCCTAGTCCAGCATGGAAGGACTTTGCTCCCCGGGTGTCCTCCACAAGAGCCCTTGGAAATCACTTGGGGCAGGGCTGTGTCTGTGCAATCGCAGGCTCTTCTCCTGGATTCTTGAGGTTCTCCCTATAAAGTGTCCCGTTGATGATGGAGTCTGGGCCACTAGACGTGTCAACTTCCAGAGGGCGTCCTGAGTGGCTTTGGAAGCAGCCACTAGTTCAGTCCTCTCGTACTCGCAGCCGTTGTCCCTAGGCGAATCTGAAGAACGAGTTCACAGCACACAGTTTTTAAAAGCCTCTTGTAGTTCACCATCATCACTGCAAAACCGCTGCTGTTTGCTGGTTGTGCCCGTGTTCCACTCTTCCTAAGTGTTAAAGTATTTTGCTTCATTGCGTTAAATTCATTTATTTCATTAAGTTACTTCAAACATCAAAGTGCATTTTGTGTGTTTAAATAACACATGTATTTGAAATGATGATAAATGGGAAATGCAGTAAGGCTTAACTCTCTGTTCTAATAGGTCACAGTGCTGACAGCATTTGGTCAGACCCAAAAGATATTTAATTATAAACTTGTGGTTTTATTAGAGTATTTTTTAAACAAATTATCTGTATAGATTGTCAGTGGCCAGTCCGTGTGGCTGAACAAAAGGACTTAGGGGGTTTTTTGACACATGAGAATTGAAACATTGTGGAGACTTTCTCCTCCCTCTTCCCTGCTGGCTCATTTTAAATGTCTACTAATCCTGTGTCCAAGGTTCCTTTGCGATATAAGTATCTTTTTGTTCTATTCACAGGACAGCACTATTTGAATGGGTCTGCATGGGTTACGGATGAAGGGCATTAGGAAACAGATAATTAAAAATAGATAAACTTATCTACTTCTTCCTAAGTTTTGTCCAAGAGCTGAACCTTTCATTACAAAAGAACATTTCCTCACCTTGGTTGTCTGTTACAGAGATTTAGACTTGGCTTGATACATAGTCCTATGCTGGCTGTTGTTATTGTTTTAATTCAGTGCTACAAAAAGAGTTATAAAAAAAAAAAAACTTTCTCTAAAGCCACATGGCAATAAAGTGTCGTTTTTGTCTCCCTGACAGGAACCACCTAGATTCAACTGAAAAACTTAGTGACTTCTCTAGATATATTACATATATAGAGAATGTTAAACACCAGAGTGATTGATTGAGGTTTAAAAGATTCTGGCTAGATTTTTTATTGTGCTCTAAAAAGAGTGGGTGGGGCTTCAGAATTCAGGCTATCACCCATCTGTTAAAATAAAATACTGGCTGAGACTTCCACCCAAAGTATTTATTTTAGCAATATATGTAGGTATTTTGAAATTGATTCATATGTCCATAAAGATTTCTTAAAACATATTGGAAAAGTTTGTCGACTGGACATCTCACTTACGGAATGTGAAAGTCATGTACACGGGATTTCTGACACACGTACAAATGTCTGGATATTGTCCCATGAAATCCAAACCATCCAGAGTGAAAACTGTAGTTTTCAATGTACATACTCAATTTAATAGAGAGAAAATTCTAAAGGAGGAAGTAAATAAACTTTAAAGCAAGATATTTCACTTTTAGTGAAAAATAATGCTAAGAACATGTCCATATATTTATGTTTTGAGAAGTCATGATTGGCCCAAAACTGAGATCTTAGAAGGACTGTTTTAGTTGTTTACAATAAATGCACATTTAACTTTGTGCCTAAATTATAGCCTTTGTAGGCTCTTACATGTATAGCATGAGATGCTTTTACCTTATCACAAGCAAAACCCATTATTGCACACCATTTAGACAAAGCATCCCACTTTTTATTGGTTTTAGGAAAAAATAATCACTCTTCAGATCCATTTTATTAAAGACTTCATTGTCTCTGTTCAGCAGARGATGGAAATTCCTCCATAGCTGAGTCCTTGTATTTATCTTGGGTTTTTATATTGGGAGCATGTGCTTGGACACCGCATTTGTTACTTGCACCTCTTAATCCTTTGAATCTGTAGGATGCGCTGACTGTGAGATACAGAGTCACACCCTAAGCCACTCATTTCCACTTGACAAGCTGCTCATCTGAAAGAGGAGGCGCACAAGGCAAGAGGCTTGACTGTCCATTCTCGACCTATGAGATCTCTTTATTTAAGGAGGAGATGGTGGCGGTCACGACAGTGGTGTGAGAAACACCAAGCCTCATGAACCAAAATGCAAACATTTGAAAGGGAAAAACAAACACGTCTAAAATTTACATCAGTGCCTTTATGGGTCTGGAGTGCTTCATGCCAGATTTAGAAACCGTTTAAATCTCTTTTCAAAACTAGGCCCAATGTATTCTGTAGTTAATAGTCATAAAATCTTGCAATTCGATTTATGTAGTTCCTTATGGCCACATACCGGTCTAAGACTAATATAGACTCACTCTTCAAGCTTAAAGCCAATTCAGCCATCAAGCTCTGGAAGAAGAGAGCTGATTTTATTTTTTAAAAAGTCTTCTGTTTAAAGGGTTCATAATGTGTAGGCCATTATTTAGTCTACTCTTGAAAATCTATGCTGATCAGATTTTATTGTGGATATGTGCGAGCAGATGAAGCTTTTTAAATATATGTGTGTGTGTGTGTGGTTATTTAAAATCTTAGCATTTGGATATTTAAGGAGCATTTCCCTTCTAATTTTAGATTCCCCCACCCTGAGTCTCTCCTGCCTTCTGTATTTATCTGTTTGTTCCTTGCATTTCAGGCCTGCGACAAGGACCCCCAGTGTGGCGGAGGCATGTGCTGCGCTGTGAGCATCTGGGTTAAGAGCATCCGGATCTGCACACCGATGGGCAAAGTGGGAGACAGCTGCCACCCGCTGACTCGGAAGGTCAGTTGGCCTCATAAGGGTTCTCTTATGTTGCCCAAAGACTTGTATGACGGGAACTGGGGACAGTTTGCTTGAAATTGGAAGTCAGGAGAGATGACAATGGGAAGACAACTCTCTTTTCTCTCCCGTTTCGTTTCAAAGAACCAGGCTTCTCCTATCCACATCCTAGAATTAGAGGCACTTCATCAGAATAACTTCTCCCATGCGAATCCACTTAGAAATTATTTAGGACAAAATATATAGGATACTCTACTATGCATCTTTATAGAAACCACAGTATAGAAGTTCTTGAAAAGACTTGTAATATCCAATCTGCTGATAAGGCACAAGAGAATAACCTTTGTGGTGGAGGGGGGTTGTTATTATTTCAGAAATCATGGATAATACCATTATCCTTATATCTTAAAAGCTCTAAATTTTACCTCTGTATCTATGGGATGCATTGCCCATGATTTTAGAGATTATTGTTATGTACATTTCCAACTTCCTTGCTCATGTAGCAGTTCAATCACAGTAATCTGAATGACGCTTTGGGAAAGTTATTGACAATGTGTAGGGTAGCCATGGGATTGTAGGAGTGTCTGCACAAGGCTTTAGGGGTGGGGTCCCCAGGCTGCAGGCTTGCCCCTCTGCAGGGGCCAGCAGGTTTGCATCACATCAGGAAGCAGAAGGGAGCAGAGAAGCTCGTGGACCTGGAGGGGCCTTGCCTTCAGACTGATGGGTCAGCAATGCCCTCCAGGGATGCCGGCTGCAGCGACTTCCTCTGGTTCCCCTCCTGGTTCCACTGGTCAGTGAAATGCAGTCCAGGGGAACTGAGATGAGCCCCGCAGCCAGGTAGCCTGACGGAGACAGAACTCTGGACACTCTCATTTGAAAACAGGTTGAGTGTCTTCAAATCAGAGAGAATTGCACATTCTCTCTTACTTTTTACCAGGCGAGTTAGGGTTTCAAACTGCAATAGAATGAGACCTCTTTCCTCTAATCCATCTTGGAGTGAACACCGTGAAATAACCTGCAGCCTGTTGGCAGAAGGGTCAGCTCTGTGAGCTGTGAGACGGATTCCCATTGACGGGGCCCCTCTGAAGGCTGCATTAGCCACTGGCTTTCCGGTGGCTGCCTTGTGAAATGTTTCCTGTTACGTTGGGGCCATTCCTGCCTGTGGTTTCACCGTGCAAGACAGTACTGTCATTTTAAGGCATGACATGCACCTTTTATTCTTAGTCATTTCAAGACAGAAAAGGTTGCAAACGATTAGCTGTCTGTGTCAATGCCAGACTCCCCACGGGCAGCTGAAGCTGGCCCTGTGCCCTGGGCATCGATCCCCATTTTTTTTATCACATGTACTGAATGTGAGTCGTCCTTGGTACACTTAGGTTGTTGGCCATGAAAAGGTTGCTCTCGCCCTGTGCCTTGAAGGATCCTTGTTTCATGCAGTGTTGGAATAACTCCCCTTGCCCTAGACCCTAAAATCTGGTGTCCTTTCCGAAAGGAACACCGTGTGTGATCTGTGTGCTAGTACCACTGATGGTTGCCGCTTGTCTAGGGCTGTGACTTGCCAGGTACTCCACACTGAGTGCTGTGTGTGTATGTTCTTCACACTCACTGACTCCTGAGAAGCAGGTTGACTTTGGTCACAGTGGAGCCTCCACAGGGCTCAGGAGCTAGTTGAGACTGCAGTCTACACTCGGGGGCACACGTTGACCTTGGCTTCCTCCCRACTCTCCATGGTCCTGGTGGACCTGACCACATGCCCCTTGATAATCCATGTGCTTGGGGGGATGAGTTGACCCTCCACAGTGGGCACTGGTGCCCGATGGTTTTGCTGAGCTTTCCAAATGGGAGTCGCTTATCCCCGGTTCATAGATAACTCCAAGTTCAGGCGTACTGTCACGTGGACCAGAGAGCAAACGGAATCCGCCTCTGGTCACCTACGTGGACCTCCAGCATTTGGTTTTCATCACAGTCTGATAGTGAAATCTTCAACTAAAGGACTGGTTTTCATGGTAAAGTGAAGTGACAGAATAACACAGATACTGAAAGACAAGGCTGGGGGTCAGACTTTAACTTTGCCCCCATTCAGTTGTCCACTTGAAATGTGTTTCTAGGACTCAATTTTAACTTTTTTTTTTCCTGTCTTGAAACTAACATTTTCAAAGTCACTTTGATGATGTAAGAGTAAGTCATAGACTTGTTACAGATGAAATTAGCCAATTTGGAAAAGAAAAAAAAAATCTAGTTTCTTCCAGGATATCTCTCTGTTACATTCCCTTCAAAACAGGTGAAAAAGAAGGTTGTTCCTGTAGATACCCCTGGTGAACCTCGGGTATGTGTTCAGTGGTATCCTAAAATTTAGTGCCCCTTAGTGGATGGGGACAATGGAGACACTGTTTGGTGGCTGTGAGCCATCAAAATGTGCTAAACAAAACAAACATATTTGATGGATGCCACAGGGCTGTGGGTAGCACTGGATGGCCATCGAGGGCAGGGGACGTCATTTCAAATGCACCAGCTGACCTGCAGAGTTCACGGTCACTGCTCAGCTGCCATTTTATAATTGCATAGTTTTTAACTTTACACTTGATAATTTAAAAATAGAATAAAATAAATCCATCAAGAAACAACTTGCTTTCAAAACATACTTTTAAGCAAATAATAGCTTTTCAAACAGGTATTCATTTAAAATATATTTTTAACAGTAAATGACATCAAGTCATCTCTACAGGAAATATTTCCCCTTTTAAAAAAATATTTGAATTTCTATTAATCGCTATACTTTTTTTATTTTGGATTATGATTTTCATAATAAAATTCAGTCATAAAATAATGAAAATACTTGAAGAACAAGGTTTATGGCAGATTTTTTATCCTATTTGGATTAATGTGATTAATATTTATATTTTATTGCTTWATATTTTCAACTTAAAAATTTAAATAACTGTTTCCTCCAATCTTTTATTTTTTTTTTTTTGGTGGGGGGATGGGTAACCAGGGATTGAACTCAGGGGCTCTCAACCACTGAGCCACATCCCCAGCCCTATTTTGTATTTTATGTAGAGACAGGGTCTCACTGAAGTGCTTAGCACCTCACTTTTGCTGAGGCTGGCTTTGAACTCACCATCCTCCTGCCTCAGCCTCTAGTCTTTTAATGTTTTTTTGTTTGTTTGCTTGTTTGTGCTGGTGCTGGGGATGAAACCCAGGGCCTTGCCCCTACTATGTAAGCTTTTTTAAGGTCATTTTAAAATTGACCTATACATTTCACTTTTTGAGGAAATTTTTAAAAAACAAACCTGAGACTTTTTTATTTTTTGAAAACCATTTATTGTAGACTTAAAAAATTATGAGTGGTTTCACTTTTAAAGCCATTGCATGCCCAAACATCAAACACAATTTCAGAATATGAGCTAAAAGACTGAGTAAATAACTTTAAAAATCAGTGACAGGTAGAAGAAAACACAACATGCCAATGTCCTCATTGTCCCTGTCAGGCATGTCTTGAACCACCGTCCACCCTGAACCAAGGTTACAGGTTCAAATCAGCAGATACTCGCCCGATAAACCTGCCCTCGTCTGACCCGGGTTTTCTCGACCTTGGCCCTATGCACCCTTGACTCCATTTCTCCTGACGGGAGCATCTTGCTGAACCACAGTCCAGTGTCACACTCAGGATTTCAGTGTCGGTTCAGCCCACTGTTACCCGAACCCCACACCTGGCCTTCACGGAGGTGCTCTTCTCTCTTTAAGAGCACCACAAACAAGGGAAATCATGTTTGACATTCTGCAGTGGTAACTTCTAGAATCTGCAGGCTCTGAGACCCTGGAGTGAGCAATCCATTGATTCCAGAGTAAACCATCAAGTTTGGGCTGAATGGTTCAAATATGCACCTTTGGCAAATACTTTCTAGCGTTTGTGTGAGAAGACACCTGTTAGCTCTGTCGTGTGGCACGTGGATCTAGAAGCACACGGGCCGGTCCAGCCATGGGCACGCACCTGCTGGGTGGGGATATCAGAAGTCTTGCTCTGTCCCGAGGAGCCCAAGATGTAAGGGGAGGAGGGAAATTCTCTGGGCTGGTGCCTGGTACAAGGCTGGGGCCAGGAGGGGGAGCCAGGCTGGGTCTTGGAACCCAGGCACCAGGGTTGGAATGAGAAGAGGACCTGCAGCTCGGTCTGATCTAATCACTGAGTTAAGGTCCCCAGCAGCAGATCCACATTGACGTTTGCAGGCTTGGGGTCCTTAATAAGAAAAAGAATGCAAAGGTATTTTTTGAAAGTTTTGCAAAAAAAAAAAAAAAAACCATGTGGCTGTGAAATGAGGGGCCTCAGCCTCGGTTTGCAGTGCCTCTGCTCCTTGAGTTTGGCATCTTCAGTCATGCTGGGCCTACTGACACCAGGACCCTAAGATGGTCACCTGTTGGCCCTCAGGAAAGAGCTCGCAGTCTCCACAGGAGGCCTGGGGCAGAGCTGGTGAGCCTGTAACAAATATTTTCTTGAGTGTCACTTGTCTACCAGGCCAGGGGCTAAGAGCTCATAAAGACAGTAAGATGGACACAGCCCTCCCCCGCCCCACTGGCACCCGCAGTCAGGGCGTGGTGACAGAGAGCCAGGGCCTGGGGGAGCCAACGCCCGAATTTGGGAAGGAACCGGACCCAGCGATGAGGTGCTCTTCCCCTTGGCATCTAGGTGACCGCAGTTGGGGGCATCCAGAAGCAGCCCTCTGCTCAAAACAGTGAAAACCTGGCCCTGGGTTGGGGACAGTTGTCCTTGTAGCCTCCCGAGGCCTGAGCCGGGCCCTGCATGGTGCTGGTTTTCCTCTTGCTGCTTCCCTTGTGATCAGTGTGACAAGGCTCGAGGACCCACTCAGGGAGCTCAGAGGTGCTGAGGTCCAGCCACGGTCTCCCCTGGCATCCGTCCTATGTGGAGGACGGGTCATTTCCCATTCAGCCCTTGCTGTGTCCCCAGCACATGTCATCAGCCCTGATGTGGGGCATTCCTGGGTGAAGGAAGGAGGAAGGGCGTGTCCTTCCCCAGCTGTCTGGCCGCTGGAGGTGTCGCGCTCTCTGTGGGCTCCTTTTCCCTGGATGGGCTGTCGGTGCTCCTCAACCCCAGCACCCTTGACCCTTGGGACTAGACCTTGCTTTGTTGTGAGGGGCTGTCTTGGCCATTCAGGATGCAGGCAGCGTTGCTGTCCCTCTCTATAGGTGTAGGCACCCCCCCCCCAGCTGGTGGCAAGCAGGTGTCTGGAGAGAGCCTGGCATCTCTCCGTCAGAACTACCCCTGCTAAGAGGGTCCTGGCTTGGGCAGGAGTTTAGGTGGCTTGTTGAAAGGAAGCTCCAGGGTGGAATGGCCTCGGCCAGCACAGCTGTGCCCACCTCCTCCCAAGCTTGGTGGCAGCACATGTCCCTGCAGTGCACCCTTTGAGTCACACAGTGATGGAACCTTTCTGAGCACCAGCCCTGGGCTGAGCAACGGGCAGTGTGCCTGCAGGTAGATGGTGTGGCCAGAGCCCAGGAGAGGTGACATGTCCCCAGGCCAGAGGGCGCTGMAGCTCATGCCAGGCCCAGGTTGACCACGTACCTGCCCTCCTGTTGTCTCCCGTCCTTCCCTTTGTGTGTATTGATCTCAGTCGTCTCCCTGACCTTCCAGAACCATTTTGGAAATGGGAGGCAGGAAAGAAGAGAGAGGAAGAGAAGAAGAAGGAAAAAGGAGGTAAGAAGGAGGTGAGCCTGGTGCCAGGAGAGACCCGCCCAGAGCTCAGCCTTGGGCTGCACCCGCAGGGTTGGTCCACCCATGAGTCTGACCCTGGAGCGGGGCTGGAGTGGCCTGCCCTGACAAGGACAGCCCTGGACAGAAAGGCAGAAACCTCTCTGTGAGGCAGAAACCTGCTCAGTGGATTCCTACTTGATGAGGCCTCCTGACGGGAGGAAGCCCTGGGTTCGAAGCAGGCGGGCCACAGGTCTCCACCTATTTGAGCTACAGGAGGATCCTCACCTCCTTCGTTTCACCCTGAATGAGCCGCTTGCCATCCCGTCTCCCTGAGCCCCTCACATCTCCAGGCCTGGGGTTAGGTTTTCTCCATAGCACTTGCAAGACGGGCAGGAGGTGAAGAAGGCCCTATTCCAGGGGAGAGCTGGCTGGGGCCCTCCTTGCTCTAGGGATGACCTGTACTGAGCAGACCCACTGCCACCGGCACAGCGCACCACCACTCACCAGCTTCTGGCTGAGCCTCCTCCCCAGCTCCACTGGTGACTTGAGCTAGGCCCCTAGGGTGACCCTGGGGACAAAGTAGACCTTGTTCTGCTGGGCCAGCTGAAGCCAGGGCCAGTTGGTTCCATTTCTGCAAAGCGAACCTGATTCTTCCCATCATCTTGCTCCTTTCCTCTTTCACCTCGGTGTTTTGAGTCCTAGCGTCCACGGCAGAGGTGTGAGTTGACATGTGACTTGCTGGCCATGCGTTGACATCTGCTCACTGAATAGGCGTGGCCAGGACCCGAGTACTGGGCTCCTCTTTAGGGGCTTCAGGAGTGGGACACTAAAAAGAAACAAAGGGAAAGGCGAAAGCTTGGTGTCTGGGGTCCAGCTGGAGGCCAAGCCCCAGGTCCAGCCGTGTGACCTCAACGGCTTGCTGAGCTCGCTCTGGGCCTCGGCGTCTCACCTGTCACATAGGTGTGATTAAAGCCTTTTCCATCTTCACGAGTGTCTGCAAGGATGGAAAGTGCCACAGACAGGAGGCACTGAGTGTCCCGCGCACCGCACGGCGAGAGCACCCAGGAAGCTCCATTGCTCTCAGAGGGCGGCTTCCAGGGCTCATTGGCTCTGAAGCTGGCCCCCTGACTCCGTGCCCCTTTTTCTTTCAGGTTCCATTTTTCGGACGGAGAATGCACCACACCTGCCCTTGCCTGCCGGGCTTGGCCTGTGTGCGGACTTCATTTAACCGCTTTACTTGTTTAGCCCACAAGTGATGGCTGCAGAGAAGGAACTTTCCATGTGCACAGGGTCCAGAGGCCTGCGGAGCCCGACTTGGGATCCTGCCCGACGAGCAGCGCCGGATAGGAGCKCCTGGCTTCCAAGTAACATTTCATCTTTGATTTTTCAGTGACTTTTTTTTTTTTCCCGTTGAAAGGGAATTTTAATTTTGGATAGAAATGTGAAGAGCAGAGCATCACGGCACCGATTCTCATTTCCCTGTTGGGTTTTGGTTTGGTTTGGCTTTGTTAGTGCCAGTAACTCACCCACTTGTATAAAAATGGGAATAAGAATTGGTATTTTGTTACAGGAACATTTTCTTTTTTATCCAACCCCCTGCTCCATCCTTGCCTCTGTGTGTGTGTGCTTGCGTGTGTATGCGTGTACACACACACACAGTGTACACACACATACACACACACACACACACACACTTTGGTCTTTGTCTCTTAAAAGATGTATAAGGCCCTGTTTCTTCCCCATTTCCCTCTCTGCCTTATTGGCGTTTTTAAGAGGGAGTTCTGTGTCCTGTGTCCTGTTGGTGGACTCCCTGGTGAGAGCCTAGCTGTCCACTGGATCCTTCAGTGAGAACAAGAGGGGACCCCAGAACCAGGCACATCCACACTCTTCCTCGGCAGTGGGGGCTGGGAGGGCCTCTGGAAGCCGCCTGGACCCGGCCATCCTGATTGGCCTCAGTTCTGCTATGAACTGGGGAGGCCAGAATCAGTGGGAAACCATGTGGATCGAGTCCAGATTCCTAGATTTGGGGTTTTTTCTTGAGTTAAAGAAGTCATTTCCAATACAATAGCACATGTATTCTTCCTTTTTTTTTTAATGAAGTTTACATTTTAAAAAGTCCCCTCATTAGAGATGTTCTAAAAAATGTCACTGGGGGAAGAAGTACTCATTGTAATCCAGTGTAAAGCTCTCTAGCTACCATTTTTAAATCAGTATTGTTACAATCTAAACTTTGTTGCCATCAGAAGTTCTTTTGCAATGGATTGCCTGATATCCTGTCCTGTGTAACGTGTGTCAATATTGCTGTGTGAAAATTCTGTATCAGAATAATGGCAGTACTGTACGGCACTTGATTTAACTTTAAGACTCTATTTTCACTTTTCTCCTGGTTGTCATTTTTCTTACAAGCACATTCCTGTATAGGCCACATGCTAAAATGGGCAAAGACACCTCCAAGGTTGGCAAAAAATTATCCTCCTGTGAGGTGCGTTTTTATTTTACATCCAGGAGCATGGTRTTTGCATGGATTGTAAGGTAGTACCAACAAATAAACTATGTGCGCGTCAGTGAAGCTCTGGAGTATGAAGGGACATTGCAACGTCCCAGAGCAGCAGGCCTGGCATGGACCAAGGGTCAGCCCTGTGCTGGAGCTCTCGTGACGGAGCCTGAGTGGTGGGTTTTTAGGCAGGGCACTGGGTTCTGCTGCACAGTGGTGCCAAGGCCACGTGGCCTCGAGAACCCCACCAAGTGTTGCAAATTGACTTAACATCACAAATAAACAACATATCAGATGTGTTCCACTGACTGGCCTTTCCCCGCGCCAACCCACCAACCATTAAAAGAATAAATAAATAAAAAATGTGCATTTTGTAGTTATGTACCTGGCCAGGGCTCACAGCAGTACATGGTGTGTGTTTTTGCCCCTGGCGCCTTGTGCCCCATCGATGTGTACGGTTTTGCTGTGCTAATTACCACGCTTGGTCAGAGAATGGTTGTTTTTGATTTAGTTAAGTCTGTGTTTAAGAAACATCCCTTAGCAAGTTGGTTGGGGGAAAAAATGGGCAAGTGGAATTATGGGTAAAGAAACAGGCCGTTTTGCAATCTGGGTCAACTGGTTTTCATAGCGTGTTGAAGACACCCTGCTCTATAAGGAGTGAAAACTTGACTGGGTCAAGGGTCCATCTTCACCAAAGTTAAGAAAAACATCAGCAACTCTGATAATAATTTTGCTTTCACATACCCCGACCCAGTTTTGTAAAAAATTGGTTACCTATAGGGGTGGACAGTGTGGCTCGTACAGCAGGTTAAGAAAGAACTGTCCAGCAGACTCAGTAACACCCAGAGGAGCACAGAGTGTGGTCCATAAAGTGTGTGCTGGACACTAGAGACAGTGGGAAGTCAGGGTGCGTGACAGCGGGGCCAGGTTCTGTGGGATGAATACCTGGTGTCTTTAAACCCCTGGGGGTTTCACATGCTGTCCATCCTGCCCAGAGGTGTGAGGCTGCACCATGGCCCGCCCCCCACGGGGCAGACAGGAGGGCCACCAGGCAGGTTCCTCCACAGCAAGGTCTCACAGGTGATGCAGGTATGCATTCCCCCCAGGCCAGAGTGTCTATCCAGCAGCATCCTGGCCACTGCCCCAGACACCAGCAACACCTCCTGTCTGGGATGACTGACAGTGTCTCCAGATGTTGTGAGGGAGACTGCAGGTGAGGACAGATGTCCCTCTCCACGAGAACCACTGGTTTCATCTAAAGTTGGTTTGTGTCTGCTCAATATTACTTAGTGATACATTTTTACCTCACTTTCAAAAGGTGAAATAATACATAAAATGTTACACCTTTGCAAAAATCATTAAAAACAGGGATGGGGATGTGGCTCCAGCGGTAAYGCGCTTGCCTGGCATGCACGGGGCACTGGGTTCCATCCTCAGCACCACATAAAAATAAAGATGTTGTGTCCACCTAAAACTAAAAAATAAATATTAAAAAATCCCCCCCTCTCTTACAAAAAAAATCATTAAAAACAAAACATTTTGTGGCCAAAGTCGTGAAAGGTGAATGTTTCACACTGCTTGCAAAGCCAGTGAAGGAAAATGGATCAACTCTATCTTTGTTTCCAGGAAGAAACTTTTCATAAGTTTCTCTTTAAAGTTCAAGGCAAAGGCACAGATAAAATAAACTCGATCACATGTGAATGATTTCACATCTTTAGATTGTACTTCCAAGCAAATTTCCATGTTGTTTATGTCCAAATTTTCTTCATCTTGATTCAAATGTGGGTAATTCATGGGGGGAAAAAAGTTTTTGTTACAAAGACTCAATAGCTTTATAAGCTAAATTAGGGGAAATTGTGTTTTATTAAGTTAGATTTGAGTAACTGTTGAGAAGTTTCCCAAATTGAGTTTCCTTATAGATGTGATTAAGCCTGGCATGTGTGCATTTGGCTCATTCTTAAAACAAGCAAATCAACAAAACTTTTATTATGGAAAATTGTAAACAGGCAAGTTTTAAAAAGGAAGTCTCATCTGTCTGTCATACAGATGTTATTTCTATCATTTCAATGACAAACTTGTTCCCTTTCTAACTGCTCAATACCCACCTCCATCCCTTCTGTGWTATTTTTAAGCAAATCAATTCAGTACCTTCTTGACAGGGCCCACTAGTTGCTATCTGTATCAGTGTATTTTCCATTGCTATAACAAGATACCTGAGGCTGGGAACTTTATTATAAAGAAATTTAAAAAAAGCCTTACTTAGTTCACACTTTTGGAGACCAAAAATCCAAGCAGTGGGGCACCAGCTCTGAAAATGGGATCTTTCCCTGTATCCTGTCATGACAGATGACATCATGGTGAAGAGGGAGGTCATGTTGCCAGAGAGATGGGGGAGGAAGGAGCCAGTCTTGCTTGCCTTTTCATAACAGCCCTCTCCATAGAACTAACCGTAGACCTATGGGAATCATGTCCATTTGTCCCAAGAGCATCACCCTCAATGACCCAGTTCTTCCTACTACTGCCCAGCACCCCCCAGTACTGCCGGCCATGACCCGTGGGGACAGACGACATGTAAGCCAGAGCACCCTCCCAGGTGGGCAGGCAGCCACGTTGCTGTGCTATCAGTGATGTCAGCCCATCTTCTGGTAATGGTGACTCTCTGCAGACGTGACCCAGGACCTTCGCTGAGCTGCCTGTATTCCTGAACATGTTTTCCTTTTTGTAGTACCGGGGATGGAGCCCAGGGGCTGAAGCCTGCCAGGCAAGCACTCTACCACTGAGCCGCAGCCCAGACCCAAGACGTCGGCTCTCATATGTATTTTTGAAAATCCCACATTGGAGTTTCAAATGTAGGAGCAAAATATTTCAGAACCYGAATGTGCATACGAATGAATAGTTGTATAAAATCCTGGAGGATGGCACCCTGCTTCCGAAGAGGCGGACAGCAGAAGGTCGTCCACCGTGGCACTCTAGTTTGGTTATTATTGATATTAATCCTCTCTGTTCATGTTCTTGCCTTTGGTTGGAGGGGAGGAGGTCCTGACTGGGAAAGAGGTCTGGGAAGCTCTCTCCCAAACGCCGCCTTCTTTCACAATTTGTTATTGGGCCGCCCACTGGTCCCCCACGCCTACATGGCCCCAGGTCTTCCCCCCTCTCCTGCTCACTAGATTGAGCTGGGCCTGTGGCTGCCCGGGTGGGGCCATGGGGCTCCAATTCTTGGGAATGCCCTGAGCAGCCATGGTCTCCCTTACCTACTTAAAAGAAGACGCACCCCTCTTTCCCCACAAAGCAGAGACGCAACCCTGCGCCCGTCTTTGGGCCCAGAGAGTGACAGCGTGGGGGAAGGTGGCAGAACTGAGTCCCTGGTGATCCCCGGATGACCCGCAGCCTGGCCCAGGAGGAACAGAGAAGTGGCTCTTGGGTAAAGCACTCCCACCAGACCCTGGTCAACGAGGGAAGGATTCTTTCTGAATGTTGGCTAGTTTGTGACACCTTTTAATTGATTGTGTTGTCTTTGGATAATTTGGTTTTCCTGTTCCTTTTTTTTTTTTTTTTTTTTTTTTTAGTGTCAGCCCCACAGAAGGGAGGAGCAACTCCACAGGCACCCAGAATCGGCTTAGATGTTGGAAATGACCATAGCATAAAAGTCCGGGGCAGGGAGTCAAGATTCCCTGCCTCCTGGGGGCTTTCTGGTGAGAGACGGGCAGACACAGGTTGGTCCAGCTGAGGTGGGCTTTAGCTGTGATGGCCCCTCGGAGGCAA